ACAAAAAAATTACAGTTTATCTTTACGTAGGGTATTAATAAATTTCTAAAAAAATAACTTTAAATTAGCTAATGAAAATTCATTGATGCCTTATTTAAATGAACAGCCAAAATAAACGGATTGTTTAAATCACGTGACTTATAATGATATAAAGTCAATCGTCTACGTCATTAAAACGTCATATCTGTTCAGTTCAATTGTTTTCCTTAAGACCGGGAAGGAGTAATTCGGTCGTGTTCGTGGGAAGCTAGTGTTAAGTACATACTACTTGTTTATTAACAAATTTGAGAGAATCATTTACCATTATTCCTGTAACACAATCAAGTGCATTGTCTCACTGATCGTCTACCGCATCTTTCCAATGATGCAACATCCAATAAGCTAATTCGGCATCCTGGATTACTCCTCTCTCTGGTAAGTATTCATATTTCATACTGCCATTTACTGTTGTTCAAATTTTATGGTAGTTGTTTATAAACTATGCACCAACGTTTTTTCTCTTAATTTTATTTACAATATAGACATACATGCTAGACATGTCCAAAACACATCGAACATATGAGAGGAAACACATTTATAAAACGTTATAAACAAAAAAATCATAGGACTACTTTCCGACTCTGCATTGTTTTCGTCGTGGAGCGGCACATTGTACGGCGGACGCGTACGAAGAGCGTCACGTGACATTTCTCGGTGCCAGATTGGTAAAATTTTACCTATGCGCACCGTCACGGCGGTCGCGACTGTTCGCAGGCCGCCGATTGTTTAACGTCACTAGTTATTGATACGGTGTTCAAGAACTACCGTGAATCAGTAACTAGTGACGTCATACAATCGGCGGCTCCTCTCCGGGAGGAGTCCGTCGGGAGCACGAACAATCGCGACCGCCACCATGACGGTGCACGTAGGTAAAATTTTATCAATTTATGTTTATTATTGTTGTTAACTTATTTAATATTACCAGTAACATATTAATAAGTCGTCTTTAATTACGGAATACATACTATAGTGTGTTATATATCACGTGACCGGACGGCACCGAGAAAAGTCACGTGATACTCTTCGTACGCGTCCGCCAATGTGCAATCGTACAAAGTGTCGCTCCACGACGAAAACAAGCTGAAGCTATGGCGGTTAGAACAATGCAGAGTCAAGAAGTAATCCTATGATTTTTTTGTTTATAGCGTTTTATAAATGTGTTTCCTTTCATATATTCGATGTGTTTTGGACATGTCTAGCATGTATGTCTCTATTGTAAATAAAATTAAGAGAAAAAACGTTGGTGTATTGTTTATAAACAACTAGTAATTATTAACCTTCATATAAGATGGTGGCATGACTTCTTTAGTTAAAATTTGGATAATTCTAAATCAGTCTTAATTTTCTGAAAAGCCTGATAATACTCTTATAGTTAATGCATGTTTGACAATTAACAGGATTCATCTTCCAATTGTTCTGATTAATGACAATAAATACATGTGAAAATATGATTCAATTTTTCTTAAATTCATATCAAAAAGCAGGCGTGAAGGACAAGCTTTTTGTGAACAATTCCAATATTTATATTTTACAAAAATTCTAACAAGCTGTTAATAAGTAATGATTCTTCTTTCATATCAATGAAATTATTTTAATCAATTCTTTTATATATAATTATAGATTCATTTATGTTGAGCTTTATTTATTCTTTTTAGGTAAGGCATGGTGCCAAGAAAAGAGAAAAGAATTCATTATTTCGATGGTGTGGACCCACAGTCACTGAGTTGTTGAAGGGTATAACAGGATGCACCCAGACTCCTCTGAATCCAGATACCTGCTGATCTATATTCAGCTTGTTCAATTCTTTGGCAACTTATTAGTGATCACAGGTCCTCACCAGCATAGTAATGAGTTCATTCTTCTTTATTTGTCACCATGCTTTATCTGTAAAAGAATATACATAGATCAACACAATTATGGATCTAGACTTATGCATCACACAGAATATATATACAGTCTGATCCATAAGTCTAGATGTAGATTGTAATCATATACACTACAATCATAATTTAAGCATTCTAATTTTGTACATAATAATGAAATCTAATTCTTGCATGTTGTGATTGATGAGAAGTTTGGATGCTCTAGGCAACTCGTTGCCAACTGCCAGTCTATTTTATTTAATAATATAATTATATAATTTATTACTCATTACTCGGTGCCATGTAAAAGAATAAAGAAAGACCAAAGAAAAATTTTACAAAATCAATATTGTAAATTCAATTGTAAAATAATGTGTGCAATGCTTAAATAATAGCAATTATTTAAGCAATACTTACCTTATTCTACATAAATCTTACATTAAGTTAAATATAAATGTAATAAATGATTTGTAAATTAAAGAAAAATAACTTAAACAGAAAGAAATTGGCATTATTGAGCAGATGAATTAACACAAATAGAAAGGAATTAGTATTAACAAATAGATGATTTAGGTATATCAACTTTATTAAATATGTAGATAATTATCAAAGGCTGGTTACAGTTTGGATAGAAGTGTAATATTTAAGCATTTAACAAGTTCAGGTTAAATAATTTGGGATAGATGAAAGAACTACAACTATTGTGTAAAGCAGTGTTTCTCAGTTTTTTCTACTTGGAGACCAGCAAAATTATGGACAATTTTACACGGACCAGTAATTACATGTAGCTATGAATTATGCTTATGTAAGTAACAAACTACATACAGTAATGCTAGATTAATATTTAAATGACATCCATAAACAACTGTGCCAGCATCAGTACATTTAGATATGTTTTTGCAGATCAGCATTTGAAAAACATTAGCGTAAAGGGGTCATATTAAGAATGGAAATATTAGCATGAATCTACAATGGATTATGCATTTGTTAATTAACTGAATATGCAAAAATATTTCTGATACTGTGATTATTACTTACTAATTACAAGTATTGTAAACTATATTATTATTGTTATGTATCTGTTTACATGAGATCCTCAAAAAATTGCTGACTGAAGACAGGTTTATAAGTCTGAAATGCATTTTAACAAAACAAAATGTTTACTAAGATTGCATAATTAGTTACTATTTGTTTAGATATACCCTCATTACAGATATTAACTTTTATCACTGCTATATGAGTTAATTTTGAAGCACTGTGCTCTTTGGCTGGTTATTTCTTGATCATCCCTTACATGTTACATTATTACATGAAACATGAAATACATAGTACTCGATGCACTAAAACACATAAATCAGTTTCTGTATTGTCTGAAATTTTGTTTATTTGAAAGATATCATTCTCAACAAGTTCAGGTAATTGAGTTTCTATCATAATTAATTTATACTAAAAATAAAGAATATATAAATTTTGAAAATATGCCAGAATAAAATAATTTGTCATTTAACCAGGACTGTTTGGTGTGAGAAAAATCAAGCTAATAAAAGTATTAAAGTGATTAGAAGATACCAGTATAATCCTGTATTTATTTCTTGGGTCTCACATCACCTAGTGGAAGTTGGGTCTCGCATCACTACAAGTTGCTACTTTCGGAACCACAATTAGAAGGGCATGAACCCCAACCCAGACATTTCAACAGACAGGAAGAGCTCTGCTATAAGGTATGTCTCTAGCAAAGAAAATCCTATAAGGAAATGGCTACTCTACTTAACGTTTAATTGTATTCTTGTGATTCTTGAGGAGGAAAGGAGACTTCTTAATTAATATATTCTCCTCATTAGCTTAGAAAATCTCATTTCATTTTATCTTAGTTTTCTTCTTTTTTGAGATAAAAGGTCACACAGTATCTATCTTATTTTAATTTCATTGATACTCAAACAGGAAAACTTTGCAAATGGTTAGTCAATCGTATACCAGAAATGGAATCGTTAACAAAGACATAACTATAATAACACTTTAGCAACTGATAACAAATTCACACATTTTTCTATTAATTTCATTTGCGGTGTTTTTCTAATGATTCATTTTGTTCTAATAAGTTGACATGTAAATAGATAATTAATGATTGATAGAAAATGCATTATTTTAATCTTGTTTAGAGTTGAAATTCAAAATATTGAAATGCTGAAAAAGCCATACTGTGCCAATGCCGACATTCTTTCTACTTTGGATCTTGATATTACCAACATCAAACAAGAACCAGAATGGGAACACGAGAATGATATTACGAGTGCGCTAGAATTTGAATCGGAAGAAGTCAAATTCCAATGTAACGAACTTAATATCGTCAAAGTCGAGCAAGATAGTTTGGTGAGAGAAAAAACTATAAACTTAAAATATATATAGTATATTTTAGTGTGTGTATTATTTTTAAAGATATTACTCTTTATTCTACTTTCAACAGGATCACGTAATTAAAACAGAATTGCAATCTGTTTCCGAAGATGAATATTCTTCAAATAATCAAGTAAATTTTCAGGAAAGTGCCGCTGATGATTTCTCAAATATTGAACGTGAAAGAAATTTACATGTTGTAAGTATCTGTTTACAGAACATATATTTTCAAATGCATATTTAGTTCTATTTATATAACGAGCATACGTATTGATAAATTGATGAGCAAAATATTCACGTAAATGATGAGTTTTGTTTACGTTGTTTCCATAGATTAGAGACTATCCATAAATGATGTCCACATGATGATGGAAAGTCCCTTACTTGATGAAATTTAACTTATTATTATTGGTTTAGTTATTATGTAGGTGCTTAGCTGAAGTTTAGTTTACAGCTTACTTTTATTTAATTTAATGAAAAAATATATAGTATATATGTTCAGAGTTTTAGTATATTATCTTGTGTATGTCTATTTGACAGATATAAGCATTCCTTTAAATGAATATGAAAGTTAAATGGATTGGATTGATAGGATAAATGAGTAATCTGCAGGGGGTGCCTCTCAGAAGGCTTTTTTATGGGGAAATTGGTCTCTATTTAAAAGATAGACACATGAAAAAACCTTTCAAACACTCCAGACAGCTAGCCCAGTGTCTATTAATAAATGTTAGTTTATTAAAGAATTTTCCATTGCTCTGATTACAACAAGAGAAGTTTTATAAGAGTATTTTAGGCTTAATCGGTATATGGCAATCTGCCAAAGGAGAATGTCTTCCAGGAGATCTTTCATGTGAAACTGATTCCTAGTTAGTTGTTACTAACGTGAAGAAAACCTGGAAAACTCCACATGGCCTCTCCGTTGGTCGGACAGGTCACGTGGAGTTTTCCATCGGTAGCATAGGCCGCTAGGACTGATCCTGAAATACAAGTCGACCTCCATAAGGCCAAATTGGTAAAAATGTCTGATCGAGTTCAACACCTTCGCAACCTGGAAGCGATAGAAATATACAAAGCAGGCCTGTCTGGCAACTGCATTAATGCAAAGGATGCCGTTAGTATTTCATATGCATGGAGGTGATGCTATGAAAAAAGTAACGGGAATAACACTAGCTAGTTGATAACGTTTCTATACCAGTATTTGCATCTTATTATTTATGTGTGTGGATGTAAAGATATTTTTATCACTTTATTAACATGTACGGTAAAAAAATGTTTTCCAGGATTTAAATATTTTGGAATTTAAAAATAATTTATAAACATTGTGTTTGAATTTCCGGTTTCGAATTTATACTGGCCATTAGCCTGATGAAGACCAAGTTTATGGTCGAAAATGTTTGTTTTGTTTAAATTTGTTCATACTGGGATATTAAAAAGGTTTTTTGTGTTGATGGGATGGTTCTCGATGTATCCGGGAACCGACCACCTGTGAAAAATTTCCAGGATTGTCCAGATTTGATCTCGGGTCCCACAGAACGATAGGCCGATTTCTTAATCTCCTTGGCTATTCGGTTGTCAGTTTGTCATATGATGATAGCGTTGAAGCAGTACTTTAACCCATAATTTATTTCATATTAAGAAATATTTTTTTAGAATAATTTAAAATATTATACATTATTTTTAAATTGGTTTGTTATTAATTAATTTGGTTTATGTAGTTTGTTTGTTTACTGCTATAATGTTTAATTTAAAACTTTGTATTTATTTTTATTCCTCATTTGAGTATTGTATTCTAAGTTTAATGTGTTTGAAAGTTGTGGGAAGTATTTAATCTTAATAAATAATAGACTCTTGAAAGGTTTTAAGCAGCTTTACTTTTTAATTGATCTTTCATAAACACTTCATAACATTTTATTGAATAATGGCTCCACAGCCCTAGGCATAGAAGGGCACAGCAGCACTGTTACTATGTATTGGACGTGCCTTAAATTGCTAAAGTTGTTTTTATGATTTATTATGCTATATATTGTTAATAATAGTTTTGCCTTCTTTATATAAAAAAACTGTGTAATAGGTAGGCTGTGTTAATATATGAGTACTTTATTAATAGGGGACATGAATTCCCACATATGTGAGGAGTCTTTGAATGTATTTGTTGGACAACCATTAGTCTTCAAATAGGGGAACCCTACTATATTAATGCTACCGAACTATGTATTACTTTGTCTCTATTTAAGGTTTTAATTTACACTAATTCCATTAAGAATTGTTTTTAATAAAATTATTTATTCATTATTTTATTTTTATTGTTATTATGTTGAGTTTGGTGAGTTATACTCAGTTGACACTAGTGGCTGTATACTATGCGGCACCAGAGTTGTCGCATAGCAACCAAAAGAAAACAAAAATTAAATAAGTGTGTCAGTTGTGTGTGTGTGTGTGTGTGTATTCAAGAATTTCCTAACAATATGACATGTATTTAATATAGTTGCTTTTTGTAGTGTAATGTATGTATTTCTATTCAACTGTAATGTTTCCTAGCTTTTGTGTAGTGTGTATGGCATGACACTTTTAGCATCCTGTCCATCCTCCACTGATGCCTTATTTCCTGGGCAACTTCTGTGTACTTGCTGATTTTTTCAGTGCATGTGTTTTGTGCATTTTGAGTGTTTGGAATAGATATGTCTGTTACATACGTGATTTTATTGTGTTTGTCAATGAGTGTGATGTCTGGTCTGTTGTGTAAATTGTTTTATCTGTGATTATGTCTCTGTCATACTAAATTTTGTACATGTCATTTTCCAATACTGTCTATGGGATGTATTTGTAGTATGGTTTGTGGATGTTTGACACAATTTTGTCAACAAAATCCTGGGCCAGGTCATAAGGATGCCTGCCATGGATTGCCTTTCAAGCCCCCGATTGCTTAATGGTGTCTATGCTTTTTATATGTTATGTCCATATGATGTGAGTGTAAATTTATGGTGTGTTATTTGAGTCTGATAGAGTTACTGCTTTATGTAACTGTGATGTTTCTTGTTTTTTTAGTAGAAAAACACTTAGTGTCTGAATTTGTTTGTAATGAAAATTAACTATGTCAATTAGGTCATGTATGCTATCTTTATGTGGAAGGGTTAGTCTTTCAATGGAGGATTTAAGATAATGATGTTTATTCTTAGTAAGTGTAGTTTTTGTTTTCCTTTGAAGTTGCTCGAGATCTGTGTGAGTCCAATGTATAACTCCAAAAGAATATGTGAGTACTNAACTAGAGGTAGACATTAGGTGCCATCTCTTAATGAAAGTAGTAACTATAATTTACCTTTAAATTTAAAATAGCCTGGAAGAAAAGAAAGTATCCAGAACAGGAGTTGAGGTTTATCCAACAGTTACCCAACACATCATCTGGGTAACTGTTGGATGATATCTAAAGTTTAAATGTATCCGGAAGGGAGGAATTGCTCAGAGGTCTGGGTGGCGTAACTGGTCAGTGCACTGCATGGTAAGCAGAGGGTATGGATTCAACTCCTAGGTATACCTATCTCTAGTTGTTCGAATCAAGTAATTTCTAATTAACATCTGTAGCATAATTTCTGCCCAATTAATTTGGCTGATGGTTGGATGATCATTTTAAAATTTTCCAAATTTAAACACTGCAATAACAAAAATGAATAATTTGTTTTTTAAATAATTTCCAAAACACACTTTTGCTCACCAGTAACTAAGTGGATAAAACCACCAAACACTGGTAGTTGGCCATGAGTTTTTGCCTCATCAGTGGGTTGGCCTAGTGGAGTTTTCTGGGTTTTTTTTTCACTTTTATAACACCTAAATAGGTATTACTTTCCTAAAAAGACCTCTTGGGTGGCATTCCTCTTTGGCAGACTGCCTGTGTTGCATTCCCTTAAACAAATAAACTGATAAACCCAAACAAAACAACTTTCAAACTAATGGGTAGAAATGTGTATAAAATACCATTAATGACCATTAATTATATTAGTGACACGTAAAAAATGAATGACCTTTTTGATTGACCCAATATTTAATGTTTAAACTACTTACCTTGTTGCATAGAGCTTTGAACTTTTGTAATTTTAGTGGCTTTTTTCTTCACGTGGGTTTGAGATAGACAATTACAGCCAAATGATTGCCAGATTAGATCAGGCTATGTTACTGATGCTATTAAATGGTAATTTGGCCTAGAGATAATCAGAAATGGCACCTAATCCCTAAATTTAATAAGTAGTAATATAAACTAATCTAATCTGGCAATTGTTTAGCTTTAATATAATTATTGGGTTTAGAGATGTTTACGTTTGAGATAGACAATGTTATTTTGTCTGTTTTCTAATGTAATCAATGCTTTTCATACATTCCTTCCCTTAAAAATTGTTGCATGAACTTTAGCTGTTAGGTTAACAGCCACATTTGAAACATTATTTTTGCATGTGGAGTAGCCATTTACTATGGTGTTTAGTAGTGGCAACACAGATAATATAAAATGAAAATGAAACTTGCATTCTGTCGTTTCAAAACCCCATTGTTCTCTTGCTTTGGCACTTGGCAAAACCTGAAATTTCGAAGCCCTGTTGATTTATCAATATTAATTAAAATATATTATTTCTAGTTGTTGTATTTATTGCTGTTGTAAACAAGGTAAAAACCGTTTGCAGAAAAAGTGCTCTACTTGCCTGCCTCTGCTCATAACGATTAACAATTTAGTATAAAAAGCAATGCAATTACAATAAATAATGTACATAAATATGTACGATTATACATAAAATGTGCCGCTTGCTTGCCAAATCGATTAACTCCATAAAACAAAAAGGGGTGAAAAGTGACAAAGTAATATATGTTCTTTTTTAAAATTCCTTGTAAAACATAAATTCAAATATACATTATAGAATGTATTATTGTAGATGTAGCTTTTGACATGAATCGAGTTTAGAATTAGAAAAAACAGTAATACTAACAAGTGCATTGAACTCTACTGAAAATGATAAAATCATAACATATATAGAAGATGGTGAAGTTAAGTATACAACATGTATATGATAGCATAGTTAAGATATGATCGTTATTATTATTATTATTATTATGATTTTGGTGTTATTGAGGGAGTTAATCGATTTGGCAAGTGAAAAACGTAATAACAACAAATTCAGTCTTGACATTAGTGTACATTTTTTATTAAAGATGTCTTCTTTGTCAGTTGTATTTGAGTTCCATCGTGTCGATTTTTTACTTAAATTTTTATAAGAATCATGTTTAATAGAAGGAATGAAAAAAGTTATCTTTAGTTTTACCTATCTTGATATAATGGGAATAACTTTTTTTTTTTCTGAATACAATTGTAACCAAAATTAAAACAATGGTTCAATATTCCACAAGTATACTTACTTCTGCGCCAGTTGGTCAGTAACTAACTAATTTCTTTTACTTACTTTTTGTGATAAGATAACATTAAATAATTTACCGTTATCTACTCAGCACTGGTCAGCACACACTGCGATTGCAATGCTGTGGTATGCGCTGGTGGATTAACGTTACAGTATGGAGTTAATTAGATTCTTCTGAAATAAATAAAATTTTTTCAATGGCCAATAAAATTTTGTCGTTAAGTGGTATCAATCCTTATTATTATGAAAACTTATTATGAATATAAAAAGTTACGAGTATATCAAGTGCTTTCACACTAAAATTTTATAAAATTTGAAATGTGGAGTTAATCAATTTTGTTTGTAAATGGCTCAAATATGCAATTTACTTGTGTTTCTTGATATAATTGTTACAAAATATGGAATGTTATAATGGCAGTAAACAGAAAGAGAGCTGTGTGGACAGATGGGTATAAGAACAGAATGTAATACAGATGTGTAGGATTATTGCTAGAGTGAGCTACATCATGCCTTTTGAATATAGGACAATAAGTTCCTAAAAGGAGGAGAGAGATCCTCATCCCTGAGAATTGCAAGGTCATTCAGTTTTTTGAAATTGGTAATGATTTGTAACTTAGTACATACATCATGTAGGATGGAATATAGTGAAAGCTGAAATGTATTATAGTTTCACACTTGTCAAAGTCATACAGTATATAAGTTTCTCTGCAATCATCAATCTGCATCAGGATATTAGATCTTTAAAACTGATTTATATTATATATTTACCAGCAACATATTATCACACTAGAAAATAAGATTTATTGATACTTTATGTGTTTATATGCCAGAAAGCAACTTGCAAGTGGTTCTGAGCATATGTAAGAGCATTTGTTTTTCTTGAAGGTGGCAAGAACTTGACCTAAAACATGATTCCATCATTGATTTTGATGGTGTGACGATGAGAAAAAGATTTGACAGATCATATTTTCTGTGATACGATTGTGACTTGTCAAATGCAGATTGCTAATAAGTTGCAAATTTATTCAAATGAGGCATTCCATTTGGTTTTGAGTGATGAGCTGTATCATGTAAACCAGTCTTTAAGCAATATTCATCTGAGATAAACATGTCAATTTTTGACCTCAGTTATAATATTTAACCACCTATTTTTAGACCATATTCATTAGTTGAATCAGTCTTATTGTTGCTAAAAAAAATAATTGTTAATTATGCTTAGTTTGAACATTAAATATATTTTGTTAACTTTATAACATTTTTTTTTACAGACACAAGATACTAATACTGTAAGTGCTAGAGGGATTTGTGAGAACAACAGAGATGATATCAATGGACAAAATGGCAACAATATCAATGTAGTGTTTGTGCCTGTTGTTGTTAACTACGTACCTGTTTTAAAATCTATTCTTCTGAAACCTGCAAATGTTCCCAGTAAAAATCAAGTGGAATTTGAAAACAAAGGTATTGGTTACATTTTGATTTATTCTTAGGCTGCGTTCGGATGGGTTGCTTTGTTGTGCCATCAGGTTATAACTGTTCATCTCTCTCCATTGAAATCCTTGTATTTTGAAGCTCTCACACTGGCATTAGAGGTGCGTGTTGGTGGCAATGGAGGAAATGTAGATCTTCACCAAAAATAGCATGGGACTTTTTACATGACTCACTTTCTAGTGACACTTCTGAGCCATTGGTACATGACTGAGTTGCCCATCTGAAAGTAGGCTTGATCAAAGAGTGTGAATATTGATCTTATTGAATTTTATATTAATACATTATCTTACTCATTTGCGTAATGTAACATACTTTTCTATTGCTATGAGAGATTCTGATGTAGACCGTTGCAAATTTTTCTTCACTTAATATTTGACTTCATATCATTTACTGATGTACTATATACTGATTTCCACGTGTATTATGGCTCCTAATAATGTACAGAATTGAGAAATTTTCTTACAAATTTTGAAGGAATTAGTTATCATCAAATGACATATTCTAGCTAAATCACAAAACTAAAATGTATAATGAAAGTCTGTCCTTCATGCTTACTAACTCTGTACAATTAAACAATCCAAGACCTTAAAGAAGTGAAGGAGTCAACATTTAATTCAAGACATATTCCAGCATCAGATCTTACTTTTTTTTTTTTTTTTTTTTGTGAATG